AGAAGACATGAATACCTAAATTGTTTTGCTGAAGACAGACTGCAGAAACCTCAAACTTTTATGTTGCTAATACAACTAAAATAGAAGTGTCAAGCAGAGGCAACTTAATTAAGAAGAAAGTAACTGTACAGATTCAAACCCTTCTTTCCAGGTAACACAATTTACTAATTTACTATCTCTGCAGGTCTACAAATTAAGTAATTTTTTAAAATTGTATCATTTTCTGACTTTTTGGCCTATTTCTGTAATTTACACTGATATCTTCTTATAAGTATTTGCTTGCATGAGTATTTTTGATACATAATCAAACCCAACTTTTATTGAACTATGCAGTAGTAAGATTCTGTTTATGAGAACTGGAAAATTATAAATGTCAATGCAATTTTATGTTCATTTTAAAAATCTAGAAAATACCATGATAATTTCAGAAGTTGTAGATAAAAAATAAAGGTGTGGGTTTGCAGACAAACTGTTTATAGTTACAGTTAAGAATTTCAGACTTATTTCTCTCTGTAAAGGTACAGGGAATAAAAAAATCTATGGAAATTTAGAAAGACACAAAAAACATACAGAAATCATCAATGGGACAGAATGTCTTTCAAATTTACTGGCAATTAAGTATCCAGTGAAGATTCCTACTGAAGTCACAGTGAAGCTAGTAACAGAGATTGACTGTTAATATCATTCTTCTTTAGTGATCATGCCATCGCAGAAGATCAGAATTTAACACAGTCTATAGTGAGTGGCTACCCAGTAGGCTAACCATGGAAAGACTGGTTTTTGCAGCTGAATATCTTTTATCTCTAGAACATCAAAACTCAAATTAGTGGCATTCATTAATTCAAAAAACTTGATCACATCAACATTTCTCATGCATTCAGCCTAATTCCTGAATTAGAAACTGATAAGAAAAAAACCCAACCCCTCCAAAACCCCACAACTGTAGGGAGCCAGAAGGAAATATTTGTACTTTCATCAGCAAGAGCCCATATTGCAGGAAATCATGATCTATTTTAACAGATTTTTAGGAAAATACAGTCTTTTTAAGCCATGTGTGCAGAACTGCTCCAGAACACTCTTTTAACAGCTTATTATGCTAAATGCAAGGCTCACAAAACTGCCTGCAACTAAATTCTGTGGTCACATAGAGCAGTCTGCCCAGAACCATGCCCAGATGGCCGTTTCAGTTGCTAACTTTGCCAAACACGAATGCAACTTCAGCTGAAGTTTTCAATGTCTGTTTTCAATTTCTACTTATCTTTAAAAAACATTCAACCACTTTAAAAAATTGAGGTTTCTTTAAATTCTCATTCATAAAACTTGCTAGAATTTTCAAATGAAAGTTTTGTAGCATCTTGAAGTTTTGAAGAACCGACGTTACTTCAATGTGCAAACAGTGTTTCAATGCATAAGCACGCAAGAACGCTTGCATGCTAATCTGTAAATTGGATTTTGTAAATCTGAAAAAGTTAATTTGAGATCTCTAAGACTTTAATAGTTAAATTCTTCAAGATACCAGACACATTAGGTATGCAGAGTCCTACAGAAAATACTTAACATTCTGATAGGTTCTATCAACCACACAGAAAGATGTAAGGCTCACCACCATGTATGAGGATTCATATGTGTAACCAGAACAGGATGAACTGACCCCTTGTAGGAATTTCTCTTTGACACTGCTTACCCATTATTTGCCTGCTGCTTTTGTACTTCCACCCTGTCGTTCTGGACAACGCCAGCTCATTAGGATAAGACCAGGTTATTATCAGTCATAATCAACACTTTCCACAGTTGAACTCATTTACTGAGTTTGTCCAAACCACACAGTTTACAGGTCAGGAGGACATCTGCTCCAAACTTCTGCTCCAAATAGGGCCAGCCATGAGATCAGAACAGGGCTTCAGGGCTCAGGGCTTCAGCCAGACACATCTTGAAAGCCCCAAAGATGGAGGGAGACTGCACACACACTCTAGGGAACTTGTTTGGCTATATTCATCATTAAAAGGTTTTGCATGCAATCCGCAATGTTCTTAGTGTAGTATCTAAACAATGACTTGGAAATGTTCTTTACATCCAAAGACAAAGTACTAGCTTACTGAAGTATAGATGTGTGCTTGCTTTGGAAAGGCAAGTACTGATTCTGCATTTTATCCTAAACTAAAGTTCCCTGTAACACTCGCCTGCCCTGCCTTCCTCTGAACTCAACAAGATTACTCTATCTGAACCTTCTAACAAGCCACAAAAGCTAACTGAAGGTATATTGTGAAGTGGAAAAAATACTTGTTAAACCCTCTTCAAAGAGACAGCGATGCAAACTGAGATCTGGCTGACACACATACACAGTATGTTGGAGCAAGGAAATTTCTGTCAAGTTTAATTCTTGTTACGACTTGACTCAAACAGGCCTTGGACTGAACTGTCCACTGCATAAGTAATTCTCCTTCCTTTACATATCCTCCAGGGCACACTTCCCCACTAAACTGCTGATCAGCCAGATAACAAAGATCCTCAAGTACGACTGCATGCGACATGAGTAAGAAATGTTACTCATTCTCTGGGGAAAAAAAAGGAACACAAATGAAACAAATAATACCCTGCTGTCAAAAAAGCGCCTCAACAAACACTATCATACAACACAGCTCCCAAGAATTTGCAATAGGAAGTAAAATAGCTAAAAAAGCATTCATTCCAATTAGTACAATAGTTGAAGATACAAACACTTCTACTATACGTAACTAGAAATTCTTGAATGGTATCAGTTCTGCCTATTTGAGAACTTAAGTAATTTCGGCAGTATTCAAGGCTGGGTTGGACAGGGCCTTGAACAACCTGGTCTAGTGGAAGGTATCGCTGCTGGTGGCAGGGAGTTGGAGCTGGATGATCTTAAGGTCCTTTCCCACCCAAACCATTCTGTGATTCTATAACTTAAGAAACTGTGAGAGGCACAATGACTACAGAATGACAAGGGAAACCTGAAACACTTGTCAGGACAGGCAGTTTTTCCCTGTCTAGAAACAGGTATGGGACTGGCCAAAGATAGAAAACAGATGAAGGAATGAACATCTACATTTTCATTTCTCAGCATTGATGCTAGTTTCAAAGCCCAGTGACTAGCTGAGGGTTCTGCAGAAATGAAGGAAAGGGAATACTGCTGTGACTCTAGGGTAGTCTCTGATGACTTACAAGATTTGGCCACTCTTCCATGCCTCAAACTTCAGACATCATCCAAAAATCTGTGAATCAGAGGTAGCCAGCGGAAGAGAAAGAAAGAAGATTGGCAGGGGGGAACCAGTTTCTGCCAACCCAGAACTGAAAAGCCCTGTTTACTATCCGAACTGAAAAACTGTTTATTGTCTCAATGGCACTGGGATAGTACTGGTCTGCAAAAGTCACGCTGTAGCTCCTGTAGTTCTAATGAGAACACTATGCTAAAACAACAACTCATCAGTGCACTGCATCTTACTGATGAGTGTAATCTACACAATCACCTACTGAAAATCCCTACAAATCTTTTAGATGTCCCAATGAAAACCAAGTCACAGCTGCTGCTGCCAAATGCATCCTTCAGGACATACGGGAAAGAAATTCTTGAGTCTGTTCTTGAGTCTATAGGGACAACTAGCATAAATAATAAAAAGTATCAGTCCTTCTTATATATCCTTAAGCAGAAAGTAACTGAGCCACAATTCATCTCTGGGATAAGATTAATGTGCCATATGCTAACAATCAAAATTTGCATCGGTGCTGATAAATAAAACAGCTATAGCCTGAAAAGCGGCACAATATTTCCCTTGCTGTTTCCCACTCTAAATTAGTTTTGTGCATGGCATAGCCTGTTTTCTACCCCTTGTTAGTTTACCTACTCACCCAATAATTATTGTGTGGACTGTAACTGTGAATAATACAAAATATTATTAAAATTAACATTCCATCTCTCTCTAACCCTATTTTTTAATTATGCTTTTCCCATTCTTTTATCAGACACCCCACTAAATTTATCTAGTCTTGTATTTCTTTTGATCAACTGTGTCTTTCTAGCATTTACTGTAAGATTTATGAACTCCCACCAGTTACAGACCTAGAAAAAACAGGTATGCTGAACAAAAGAGGAAGAGTCAATAAAATCTGTTTTAAAAAGTTGACAATTGTTCACATAAAAAAAATCTGTATAGAAATTTAACTTTCTAAAATTCTTCCTATTATTTACCATAAACTGAGGGCAAAAAGTTGGCATATTGTCAGCCATCTCCAAACGTGCTGTATACCTACTCCATTTTGACAACTATCATCTGAAAATATTATATAGAAAAAACCTATAAAACCATGGAGTTCTTAATAACTCTTCAAGACACTGACTGTGAGAATTCCGTTAAAATTAATGCTGTTTACTCTGAGACAAAGCTATCTGATCCTCCAAACATGAATGTCCACCCAGTTATTGTAGCAAAATTCTTCAGCCTAGTATAAAAATTAACTTCCTGGTCTATAAATAAAGAGATATTAAAGATTGCCACTGTTTTCACAGCCTGAATTTTGAGTCAGTTCACTTTATATTAAAAATTATTTTAATCCTTTAATTACTTTTTTGGTGTGTGAATCTCTTTGATACCATTTTCATTATATTTCTCTTGCTTTATATTTGAAACATTCTTTATTCTTTTAATTTTTACCAACAACAGCCTCTATTTAATATTCTTTTCCCATAAAAATTGGATTCATATCTGGCACATAACATAGTGGCAGTCTGCTGAATAATTACAATTTAAATATGAAATACAAAATTTTTGTATTAAAAAATCTCTGCCAAAGCAGATATCTTCATAAGGATAATAAATTTATTTCAATACAATGCAAAAATAAGACTTAAAAGACGCTTACGTATACAATTGGAGTCATAGTTATTATGCTTCACATAACATTAAAGAAAGAGGTATCAACATAATTCTACATGAATGAAGCTGCAAAAAGAAGATGATATGATTTGAGTTATTAAATCTTACCTGACCAGTGTCCAGTGGTGGTACCTGATCTGTCAGTACATGTCTCACTTACAGGCCTAAATACAGTCTCCCAGCCACCAGTAGCATAGCGCCAGTTCTGAGACTCTAAAATGAGTGTTCGCTGAGTGCCATAAGCAATCATGAAGCAGTAGACTACGTGATGAAGTTGACAACCATAGCCACAGCCTTTGTTGATATTACACACAAGTTTCTTAGCTTTGCTGCAATCCTTCGGGTTCTGTAAGCATGGATGAAAAAATGAAGCTGAAGAGAAGATATACACAAAAGCATACTTTTTTTGTGACAAACTGACACATGTCATAAATCACAGAAGCCATCCTGCTATAATACATCTCATGTTCAAATGGATGAGTAGGCTTCAGCTCCATTAAAATTTTATGTGATTCTTCACTGTGCACATGAACAGTTACTGAACATACTCCCCTATCCTAATGTAAAATAGAATACCTTGAAGATTTTAAATTACTTTCTCATTTGTAAATCTGTCAGAATAAGCTAACATTTGGGCTCAGAGTTCACATTTCATCAACATGATTCCCACTGTTGGAATGCTTTTTTCATTTGGCATTTCCCCAGGTTTGTTAGTTCTCTTTCAATGAGCATGCATGTCACACAACGAAAGGAAATTTCCACCTGTCTACAGGATTCAGAATAAAACAAATGCTTATTAATGAACTGCTTCCCAGACTGACTACCTAGCAAATACAGAACACATACCTAAACACAGTAATAAGAGGCAATATTTTAATCTGCATGTACTCTCAATAAAATAATATACTGCTCTTCCAGAGTCTTGGAAACAACAACAAAGGAGGCAAATGTCTACACGATGTGAATGCTGTGTTTAAAAGTACAAACTAATAAATATTTGAGGTATGTGGACAATATAACATAACACACAGAAGTTCTTCTTTCTGTAAAATATAGTACTTGGCTGTACACAGCCTCAATGTCTCTAGACATACTTCTGCATTCCAAAAAGGTTATTTATAAAATCTCGAGGATGAAAAGTTAGATTTCAGTTAAGCTGCAAGAATATTGATATTTCAGCATCGATATAAACTCGTTCCTCTCCCATCTAAACAACTTTAAATAAAATTTTCTGTACATTTGCAACAAATCAGGTTTCTTCAAAACCCAACAATCACCATCTGGAGAGACGAGATCTCTTCATCAAGCGATCTTAAAGATAATCTAAATATTCTGAGTCCTAAAATACTTAATAAAAACTTTAATGTGCACATTCAATTTTGAAAAGAAGGGAAGAATAGTTCAGATCTGGATGAAAAAAAGAAATAAAAATAAAACAACAAGCCTCACAACATGTTACTTCAGCATTTCTTTTTTCCACTTAAAGGAAAAACCATCTGATTCAAAGCCCAGCTAGCAATGAAAACCAACAAATGAAATAAAATTTCTATTCTTAATTTTTGTTCCTCAGGCCCATACTCCTGCTATCACAACCTAACAGGTAACTTGAGCCTAAATCTAAAAGGTATCTTGAAGGCTATTACAAATCTACTTCCCACAGGCTTTTAGGAGAGAAAGAAGGTTTTTCTAGTATGGTGTACAAGTTCACAAAGACAGAATTCCATGAAAAAGAATCTCCCCCCTAAATCTACAGACCCATTTACACCACTCAATGAAGTGCATTAATAAGCGGTGCAAGAAGAGGCTTTTCCTGCTGTTAACTGTAAATGTGCAGAAAAGACATAAGCGCAAAAAAAGACAATAAGGTACATTGCTATGCTGTTGTTTTTTTTTTTTTTACACTGAAATATTAGACTAATAACAAAATGTAAGAAGCTTCTTTCTGTCATAGAGAATTGTCAGCAGCAGACACAAGTGTTTAGTTGAAGCTTTGTGCTTATCTGGTTTACTTCCATTTTTGAAAGATGTGTCTACATTTAACTTCTGGTTAATAATAGTAATTCATACTTCATACAGACTACCTTAGAAGAGTTTTAATACCATTGTGTGATGTACTATAACTAGATTGTAAAAAGAATTATTATGGCCAAAAGGAAACCATTAGCAAAATATGCCTAAGACTTATTCTAGCTGGCACAGAAAAGACTGCATCTATGCTATTAAACTTTCTAAACCTCTTAAAACAGGGTTGCTGCAAACAGTAGATTTATGAAGAGTGTCTTGTGGTAGGGCTCAAACATAGCCAAAGAATTGCTTGGGAAAAGCATGCCAGGAACTGTTCTAACAATTTTAGCATTTAGAATATTACATTCCAGCGCCCGGGAACATTCCCTGTCATTGTTCAACTACAGTAAAAACTGCTGTTGTGGTTTAAACCCAGTCAGGTAACTCGTTCACTCACTCCCCCCACTTCTTTCCCTCCCCCTACTCCCGGAGGGACAGAGAGGAGAATCGAAAAGAATGCAACTCCCATGGGTTGAGATAAGAACAGTTTAGTAACTAAGGTATAACACAAATCACTACTGCTACCACCAATAATAACAATGATAAAGGAAATAACAAGGGAAGAGAATACAACACCTCACCACCAGCCAACAGATAACTCGCCCCCACAGCCCGACCAAGCACCGACCCATATCTCCTCCAACCCTGCAGTCCCAGACCTTCCGGGTAAATCCCAGTTACATCCTGGGCATGACGTGCTGTGGTATGGAATACCTCTTTGGTCAGTTTGGGTCAGGTGCCCTGTCTCTGCTTCCTCCTGGCTTCCCCTCCTCCCTGGCAGAGCATGAGGCTCACAAAGTCCTTGGCCAAACCAAAACATCACTATCAGTTCTGTTCCCAAGCCGAAAGTCAAAACACTGCACTGCACCAGCTACCAAGAAGGAGAAACATGACTGCTACTGCTGAACCCAGGACAATTGTTTAGGACTATTTCCTGGTCCCCATCTTCCACTTCTTTTGGTGCTCAAAGAACCTTCTTCTCCAGGGCTCTTGGCTAGCCTATTCACAGAGTTAGTAGGATCAGATGGGAAAATGTCAGAAGCACCATTTCAATGCCTCACCAACTTCCACTGTTTTTAAGTGTGCAGTTAGCCATCAAAATACATGACAATCTGGCAAAAGTAAACTCTGCTGCTTAACATGCACCTGACTATAACAGAAATGACTGTGTTGTTTGTAGATTTTAAAAAGTATAGAGAAATGTACTCTCACCCAATGAATCAAGACAGATTGGAGTGGAGTGGGCAAGCAAACTGCTACAAATAAACACAATATGATGCTCATGAACAGAGTGTTCTTTTTTGTATTTTCAATAACAATTCATTCCTTAATGCTACACAGTCCACTGGAGAAGACAGTCACACCCAAATTCTGTGGAAAATTCCTCATTTTTTTAGAGAGAATGATGTTAAGGAAAAGTGGTTTTCATCCTAGTTATCACAATCGTAATTCATGTCATCTATTTGTGATGCCACTTGGAATGGCTCCTCTCAATATTTGGTGAGGGTAGGAATAATTTCTTCCAGCTGCTGGAAGAAAATTTTCTTCCTTGCCTAGCCAGAAATACTGCGTATTTGCTTTGAGAGACATGAAGCTTTACCTGCCTCTAATGTTAATTCCTCTAGCTTGCACCTAGCCTCCTCCAGTACACAACTTCAGCTTTAGTAAAACATCCCAGCATGTAGCTGGACTAACCATTCTATGCTCCTCAATCCACTATATAAAAATTCTAGAGAAAACCTCATATAGATATCAGCAGTGATTACACTTTATTAAGTGGTTACTATCCTAATACCATACTTTCAGATCCTGAATTTACAGTAAAGATGGTTCAATACACAATGAAAGAATCTGTTCATATAAACCATAAGAGCCAGAGAAAAAAACCCACTGATCACTCACTGGACAAAATGTTCAAATTACAGATGTAGTCACATTTAAATTTCAATCCACCAAAGACTTTCAGTAGGCAATTCAGAACTACTAAAATGCATATAGTAGTAAGATAGAAAAAGAAAGAAATGCATATTAAAATACAAATACTCCTGAGAACACACCAAAAGTGTAACTAAACCTCTCAATGAGTAGGGTTTGGGTTTCATGGGAGGGTGAAGGGCTGGGCACAATCCTGCAACCAGTGAGGAGAGCTAATGGGGTTTGTAAGAAATTTTTAGTTCAAGCCTGAAGTAGGCCAGTTACAGAAAACTTATTTGACAAAATGTGCTTTAAACACAGTTTAATTTTTTATTAACTATTTAAATGACATAAATTCCCAACACAATTTGAGTCACTCTGGAAGTACCAAAACTAATCAAAGAAGTTTCCTATGCATTTTTAACTAGCAGATCCCTCCGGTGTGGATTCTTCACTGCTAAAGAAGGATAAGTGCAAACTGCTGTCTTCTCCAGTGCCCAGAGCCTTTTTTGTTGTCATTTTAGCATGAGAACTTTTATTAAAAATATATATCATTGATTTTAATGGGAAGGAGATCCCTTAAGGCAGAAAAAAATGACACGTTAGGTCACCAAAAATACTGAGAAATCCAGAAACCTCAGAATAAAGTCTTATCACCAACTTTCTCTTCTTTGCATACATACATAACCCCAAGTAAATACTGTGAACATGGTAAACTATAAGTATTTGCTGATGTGGCTGAGTACTTGGTGATGTCTCTCACCTGTTGATATTTTTAACCTTCAAAATTGAACAAAATATTTTGAAGTTTTTTACAATTGGAGGCAAAAATATTCTATTGCTATTGGGACACTGCATGCTGCTGAATCACTAACTTTCTAAAATAAAATAGTGCAAAAATAAGCACAAAAGGAAATCATCACACAATCATTTACTCACTATCACTTCCAAAATATACAGCTCTCGTACCATAGGAGCCCCTGCCTGCCTTCTCTTGCACATTCTCTTCAATTGTTTGATAATGAGCATCGCTGAAAATAAGGTCTGCTGCTTAAATCTAAGCTCCTAGCTTTTTAAGTGTTGCTCTAACTACAGGGAACTAGCTAAATGTAGCCTCATTAAATCAAATTTATGGTAATGCCATCCAAATGAAGTAGCAGTCATCACTACTCACAATCATTCAGCTAAATGATTTCCCAGGGAGATGTCCCAAAATAATGCAGCTGTCACTGTTCAACATGTATCAGAAAGAAAACTATTCAGTACTTCTTCATCAAAAAAAAAAGAAAAAAACCCAGAAAAAATTATGTTCCACATATTTCATTTTTTGCATGGAGCTGGGGGGAAGGATTGTTGAATTTTTTAATTTTATTTTCTTTTTTAACACACTTATATTATGAATAGTGGTGTGTATATATGTTATTTCAGACACGCACTGCTTTACATCGCACACTCTCAGTCAGCCCTGTGCTCTTCGAAATCCTGAAACCCACACTGTAAAATAAGTCAACTTGACTTCCAAATGTGTAGTCACAAACATATTCCTGTTTTGGATGATTACTTGCAACAATCAGAGCTCCAAAAGCTTATGCCTGGCTCATAGGCATGTAGACAAGAGAAAGGATCCTCATTTTTTTCCAGACAGAAAAATGGGAATAAAAAAGAAAAGAGACATGGCAGCAATTGTATATGTGAATGGCCCATCTCAAAGCCTGTAACTACTCATAAGAATGAATCAAACAAAGCAGTCATGAAATAAGGGACAAAGTGCAGTCAAAAATCAAAACAGATTATAAAAAGGAGCAAGAAATGGCAAACACACAGAGAACTGGCCTCTAGTTATCTTAGTGGGACTAGTACTTTCATGCATGAAATATGGAAGAACTGGTAAAAGACAAAGCCATTAAATTAAATGTCTAAGAAATATTAAATCAGTCAAGCATAAAGACTTGACCTGGAATTCATGACTTGTCATGAATCCATGACTTGTCATGAATTCCAGAAGAAACTAACCAAAGTAAGCATGACTCCTGATAAGTGAAATTTAGTATTGATAACTAAATTTCAAGTAAGCATAGTGAAAAAAAATCACTAAAGTTTCAAAATTCAGCTGAAGTAAAGATTGCTGGCACCATTTTCGATAGCTCCATAGGGACATGAACTCAAGGGAGACAGATTATTAGCTAAGTAACACATGAGACTGCATGAAAGTCAAGATAAGAAAAATAATATATTGTGGTGCTATTCTATAAATCAATAGTCTATTGTCATTTATCTGCTAGTGGATGTTCACTTCTAATGGTCTGGTGAGGAATTAGTGTCAAGGGAAGACATCAGGAAGAAAAAAATGAAAGCATCATAAATTCTCACACATGAAGAATGATCAAACATTTTAGGTAGGTTTAGCCCGAAAAGTGATTAATGAAAAGAAATACAGTAAGTATAAGAAAGAAAGAACAGTTTAGTGAGAGAAGCCTCGTCACATTTCTGTTTCACATTTAGGACAAAAACCGAGTATACAACACAGCTAAAATGTTTCAAATAACCAAAGGCATACAGAATAAACAGGGTTATATTATTTGTTCATATAATACCCAAACAATTCTTCATATATTGCTGCAAATTTGCTAAACTGTGCTATTTTTGGTAACCTGCAGACTTACAATGCTAAAAATATTTATCTATCAAAGCTAGAATTACATCTTTTTGGAAAACACATATCACCATTCTTCAACTTAAAGCTCAAAGGCCATTACTAAGGAAACACACATCCCTTCCATATAGTTCCTAGATCCTTCCCTGTGAAACAGTCACACTGAATTCGATGTGCAGTATTAACACATTTATATGGTTTAACTTCCATAATCAGTGCTGACTTTTGTTATTCATTGTAAGCACTCGGAGGTCCTTATGTTGAAGTAAGGCCCTGAACACTGTAAAAAATACTATAGGGAAACAATCACTCTTCAGAAACACATACAAGCTTAGGTAAGACAACAGATGGGTACAGAAAAAAAAGAAGAAAAGGTAAACAACAGCCATATTTATCAGCATGCAAAGTAGTTATGGCACACCATTGCCAAACAGTGACATGCCAAAGGAAAGAATGAGGAACAGTTCTCAAGAAGCACTTGAAGAAAGACAATAAAGTTATGTCTCCTGCCTAATTTACTGGGAGGTTTTTTTTCCATAGAAGGGTGTCTGGTTTCCATTTAATAAGCAAAAAATGCATAGTTTGGTCATAGAAGAGAAGGTTCCAGTAGCTGAACTGTGACATGTGAAACAATGGAAATCTGAGAAACAAATTTGGCTATTTACACAAAGAAAAGATAAGACATTCAGGCTGACCATACAAAACAGAGCAGTGGGGTACACACATGCAAGGAAAACCAAACCAAGTACAAATAAAACAAGCTATATCAAATATCTTTTTGATCTCTATGTAAATAGCTGCGTGCTTTCTTATATGAATTCAGGCCTCAAAACCTTCAAGTTCTATTTAAATTTTATAGACAGATACAAGCATACACATTAAAAAGCACTCACAAATATGGGCATCTATGAGAAGTATCACACATGTTGAAACAGTTTAGGTCTGGGCAATATAATATACAAGCACTTCAGTTTTGCATACTCAGGTTTTTTAAAACGGGCTGCTTTTTTGGAAGTTTCATACAAGAACTTTAATTTTTCTATTTTTAACACTGTGCTAACATATGTATGCATTCTGATGCTCTAAAGAACAAAAAACAGAAACCAGGGACTTATTTTTTATAGTAAAACAAAGAAGCCAGACATTCTAGTTTCTTTTGTAAGTAATTCATTTGTATACAAACATACACTTAAACCTGTCATGTAATTAGGCTACTACAAGGGTATAGTTAAGTGCTATATATATATTTTAATAAACTAAATGTTTACCTTGATTTAAAAGCTCTGTCCTCTTACCTGTAGATAAGTTATTCTCCTCTGTACCAAATCTGTTAGATCTTTGGCCTCTTTTTCTCGCCAATCTCCTGCTCCATCTGTTTGACTGAGGTAGTACAAGTCGGTCATTATCGACCTGTGAACAACCATGGAAAACAATCTCAACATTACTAAAGTGGAGGATTAGATGAAATCAAAGACAAATTAAACAGATCTTTCAAATACAGCCTCAAAAACATTTTGTTCACACCACCACCTACCCCGCAATTCCAACAGTAGCCAAGAAACACTGTCCTCCATTTAATGTACGTTTCATACATATGAGTAATTATAGTACTATGCCTGTATAGAACATAATATTACAAATGTCTTTATCACAGCTACAATAGTAACCCTTCTATTTTAATTAGTGAAAACCAACTACAAAATATTATTGCAAGGTTTAGTAAACAGTATCTTTTATGGCACGGAGCTGCTGACTCTGGAAGAAAGTAAGCACTCTGCCTGCTTGGAATGACTGCATCCTACTAATACTCAAATGGCCAAATTACAAATCTAGACAACACAAAGCGAATTTTGAGAATTTTCTGGGGGGAAAAAATACAAAACCAGGGGCAAACTATTCAACATATTTGTAAAAACATTAATGGCTGATCTACAAGCAACACGTAGCCCAATTCAGAACCAGTAACTTCAGAGTTGGCCTTACAGACTGGGAATATTTAAAGTTGATAAACACTTCTCCATAATAATGATGAAGGTTTAACTTTAAAATGGCTTTCTCAATTTGTTTATCTGAACTTCAGATGTTATAATTTTTTGCCTGACATTTTTGCGAAGCCCCAAGTTTGATCCTTAGGAGGAGATGCAACTCAACAAAGGCACAGAAATTTGGCAAAGGGACAAAAAAAAGAGTGTGAGAGGAAGACAAGCATATTTCCTAATGACCTTTCAAGTGGTGTCATCAGTGAAGTAATACAAGACCATTGCTGGCAGCACTTGCTAGTACTGGAACAACAAATCTAGCTAGCTGAGGGTATCCCCCTTGTAAATAAGCCTAGCAAGTGAAAAAGGAGTGAATAAAATATCAACATTAGGTAACTACTTCCAATAACACAATATTTAAGCAGTAATTTCCGATATAAATCAAATTGGGTCAGAGATATCTTTATCAGCAGAGTTATTGACAACCTTCTCTTGACAATAACTGGTTTTACGGATCTATATATTTCCATTCTCATACACTCATACTGGTTTTTATACCCATACTTCTGCACAGGATAACAGTGACACAGACTTAGTACATGATCTACTCTTGCTGTAGTAAACATTATACCCATCTTGTTCAGCAGCAGTGATGTTCACCTTCTGTCAATCAATTGGAAGCACCATATTTACATTCTAATCTCAAACCATGTAAAATGGATTTTCTTTTACAAGTTAACTAAACTTGAAATTTCAAGTATCACCACATAACTACCTTCAGATCACTATTAAAGACACTATGCAGAGAAACATGCAAACACAGTTTAGGGACAATCAGAAAAGAATTAATGACGCAGTAGATCTAATACAATGGATTATATACAAATAACTGAAGAGATAAAGAGTCTGTTCCTCTTAAAGCAGTGTTTTCCAATGTAGAGAAAGCATTATAGGGTAGTAGACAACTTAAAAAATGAAAGCCATGCATTTTCTTGGGAGTTTAAGAATATTGTTCTTCCCAAGCAGGATGCAACCATGGTGGATGTTTAACAAGAATATATAAAATTCAGATATAAACATTAAAAAGAATAATAATAAAAAATCTTCTGCTACCATTAAAAGCAATCCCTTTCATTTAATAGAAATATATTTCTATTAAATCTTGGCATAAAATAACTGAAAATACGAAGCCTATCAACTGAAAAAAAAACAAAACCAACTCTCAGCAGTTAGGTAATTTTTCCTGTCTCTAAGGAAAACAAACCTGTTGCCCAACTTTTGTTTTTACATTATTGGCCATGGTGACCATGACAAAACAAAGACAATAGGAAGGTATAAATAATTAGCCTTACAGATGAAATGTAATTATTTTCCACCATCTCTAAGGCAAAAGGAATTCTGAGAGAGTCCTTACACAGCCTCAGTGACTCAACACTTTAGGGAAAGGTAGCTTTGCTCAGCACAAATCATAAAGAACATATAATAATCTGTGGAAAAAATTATGAATTAGTGCAAGACTTTTCAGACAGCATCCACAATACTTGAAAAAACAGTCTTTACTCTTAGAAGACTCCAAAGCAAACCAGGAACTGGAAAATTCACAGGTGCTATTGCACAGAAATGATTATAATGCTGGCAGGACTTGTGACCCCACAGGGGACCCACTCTGGAGCAGTCTATTCCTGAAGGGCTGCACCCTATGGAGGAGACCCACACTAGAGCAGTTCAAGAACAACTGCAGCCTGCAGGAAGGAGTAGTTTGTGAACGACTGCCTCCTGTGGAAGGGACCCCACACTGGAGAAGAGGAAGAGTGTGAGGAGTCCTCTCCCTGAGGAGGAAGGAGCAACAGAGACAACACGTGATGCACTGACCAGAGCCCTTATTCTCTGTCCCCCTGTGCCACTGCAGGGGAGGAGGTAGAGAATTCAGGAGTAAAGTTAAGCCTGGAAAGAAGAGAAGGATGGGGGGAAAGTGTCTTAAGATGTGATTTTATTTCTCATTACCCTACTTTGATTTCATTGGTAATAAATTAAGCTGATTTCCCAAATTGAGTCTGTTCTGCCCATGACAGTAATTGATGAGTGATCTCTCCCTGCCCTTATCTCAACCCATAAGCTTTTTGTTATACTTTTTCTCCCCTGTCCAGAGGAAGAGGTAGAGTGATAGGACAGCTTTGGTGAGTACATGGTGTGAGCCAGGGTCAACCTACCACACATACCTTCAGTCGCTTTCTTTCTTTGATTTCTATTGCAGGGAAATGTGCATTTTTTAGGTTTCCATCTCCTAGGTTCTTTTGAGCATGACAGACCATCATGATGGCTTATTAATACAGGTTTACAAGAGACACAGACTAATACCAAAGACCAGAGCTAGGCACCATGTCGATACTAAAAAGTAGATGGACCAGTGATCCATGAGCCCAAGATGGCTAAGTGCAGACAAAAAATGAGCCTGCACAGGATTAGTAGAGGGTTATGCGGATGGTAAAATGGCAGAAAGAATGTCAGGCAGTGGCATTGCAGATATTTAATGTCAAACTTGGTCTTTCATTGTGTTACTAACCAACAATATCAATTTGTTGTTGTTTTTATTTCATATCATAAATTAAATCGTGGAGGTGCTCTTAAAAGCATTTTGCTTCTGGAAAGCAGAATGAAGAATCTGGCTATATATTTCATCTCCATTTGATTGTCACAAATAAAGGGGGAGGGCTGGCATCTTAACACATTTTGAAAGATCAGTCTAGACATTTATTCTAGCCGTATGACAAAATTACATTTAAACCTCCTGGAAGATTTACATCAACAAATAAAAACTCTAAGAGGAAAAAAAACGTGATATGTTCCAACAAATTCAAAGGAAATAACGTGAAAATATGCCCAAACACTATGCATCAAACCTTGGCCAGCTACCACAGAAGCCGTGGTGACAGCTGGTCCCCAGGAGAAAAAAGGAATGAAACTAACTCGGTAACAGTCACCCTGCAAACAAGATGATGGCAACACAGGAAACAACAATGACAACTAGAGGATTCATCTGTTCTTCGTTATTAACTATGTCAAATAGCCTTTCTGCTGTTAAGATGAACTTACTTTCAACAGCCATTTTCCCTATGGCAACGAGAACACAACGCAGGAAACTGCACTGGGCTACTTTGTTTCTTGAACAGAATCAGCAGTGAAATACTGGACAAAAACCATCTGCCAAGATTGGCAATCTCCAGGAGAATATCTACACAACCCCCTAGGACACAGCTAAGAAATAGCAATTAAGGCATCCAAAAGAAGAAACGCTATCATGTTAGTAGACCATGTGCATAACAGCACCAAGATTAACAAACAATACAACTTATCCAGAGTCACAGAAACTGTCTTTGTCATCTCTTAAAAAGCAAGTCTTCCCTGTAACACAACAGGCTTTCCTCACAAACAAAAACAATTAACTACTTGCTTTACATACTTACCCCATCGTTGGATCACTACACAGCCCTGTATTTGCTTTCCCATGAGGGCATTAAAAACTGCTTTAAACACTTATAATTAATATTTCTAATCCAAATAATAGATTTTAATATATATTGAAATGTCGAAGATACATTTATGTTTATATATAAAAATAAGTAATACCAGCTTTACATGTAGTGTTCCAGTTATGTAAGACCCATAAGTAACAACTTTCTAAGACATCACTATCAAAAAGGGCATGCAGCAGCTAGTTAAAAGCCTTAAAAAAGAAATCAACAAGTGCACATGTATTTACATACCAAACAAATCAAAAACCACAACAAAAAAACTCAGCAATAACAAAAAACCTCACCAAAAAGCCCTGATTCTCAGACCAAATGAGAGCATCTGATTTGCTCACTCTAATTTATGTTCTCTTCAAGAGACCAGATGGACTTTGTGGAGATAAAGAAACTGTTGTTTCCCTGGGGAGCTACTGTGCATCCTAAGGGAACAGAACACCCCAGAGACTCCAGTGTATCACAGGCCAAAGGATGTGCACACAAGGAGCTGGGAGTTTTCCTACAACTCATGTACTAAAGGAAAGAAGACGATAGCCTAACTTCAAAGGTGAAAGAGTGAACTTCTTCGAGACTAGAGGCAACCAAGCATTCTGTAACACAAGACAATTATATTGCAGGAAGCCAATGTTGTAAGTACACCAAGAACAGAGGCTGAATATTGTAGAAACACTTTTGTATCTGCTTTCTCTTATGCAACTGCTTTGAATTTCTACATTGTAAAAAAAAAAAAAAAGTCTACATTTTATTTTAATAAAGCCTAGTTTCTGGCTGTTTGGTTTTAGATCAAACAACTTTAGTCTTCTCTGGGGACATCACCACACAGAAAGGTCTACACTACTACCGAGACTCAACAGACTCTAGCATATTCTGCTGTTGCTAGCTACTGTGTCAGTCTAAAGAATACTTCTATTCAACAAGAAAATTCTGAAGAAAAGAAAAAACCAGAGCAGCTGTGACTGCTTGCATCGCAGACAAACTTCTTCCAGTCCCACATTGTTTTCAAGACTTCCACAGTGGGATTCATCTCCTAACTTCTAGAGGTCCAAAAGGCAGACAATGCTAAGGACTATGCATTTTTAGTATGGGTTTTGCCTCATCCTGTAGTACAGAGACGTGAAGACAAGGCTGCCAGAAATATAGAACTTGCAAGCTGGTCTTAATTATTTAGTAGTCATTCATGTAGGAAAGAAAGGAGTAAGAAAATGATGCATCCTGGGAGGAGGGCACACAAAACCCTTCCGACATGAAACAGACCACATTATTCAGACGTCCACTGTGGCAACTGCCTGATGTGATCCTGGCTACATAAACAGCGCAGTCACATGTATTCAAGTGATTTTGTTCCATCGATGGACATCAGTACGTTTGGTATTGGACTACTTGCCTCAGTTTCAGCAGAAAGTTTAAAAGAATCAAGAATCAATGACCTGAAGTCCAAGAAACCCAAATGGAAATAACTTCTCTGGAGAACAAATATTTTTGAGTGGAAGCAGCTACTGAAACAAAATACCCGGGGAAGTGAGCGCAGAGTGACTGATGAGTTGACCGTTTGACTGAAGATCTCCAGCCTTTTGTAAAATCCTGTTTCAGCCAAGCACTACTTTTATTTCAGTCAAACATACATAATAGCACTCAGCAGAGAAATAATTGGATGAAATCTAATGGCTTATTTTACATAGATAATAACTCTCGATAATTGAATACTCCCTCCTTCTCACTTTAAACTCCATCAATCTGCAACAAATTGGGTTTTGAAATTGCAGAATATTAAATTACAAAATTTAATGGACTATATTATTTGCACACATTAATAATCAAATTCATATTATTCCAGAACTACATTTTAAATAGTATTTACATTCTTCCCAAAGAATCAAAAATTCTTATTATTTTTAATTTTTACTACAGTATTATTACCAAAGGTTCATGCTTTACAACTTCGCTCACTCTTGAAGAGTTCAGCTTTTTATGAAAAGGAGACTTGTTTAAGGTAGCATATTTAGTTAATTCAACAATTTTCTTAAGACTGTTTACTAAAGAGACAAAAATTGCCATTGTGCTCATGTTGGGAACAGAATTATAAAAGATAACAGCTTTACAGATAGATTCCAATAAATTTTTAACACTTTCTGGATCAATTTTGTTCGGCATCAACAAAACTCACACAGAACGTTTTAGCATAATACAAAAAGTATTTCAACAATGTGAAGGCCAGAAGATCAACAACAAAGGAAACTTAATTCCAACACAGCAACAGTGTAATTAAAGGTGATTTCTATCTGAAATACTCTGCTAAATTCTGATTACAAAAAGATGTTGTCAAAATAATTGTCAGAATGACAATTACTCCTGAAATTAAGATATTACCCAATTATAAAATATCCCAATGATCAACGTAACAAATATATTCTATTATTTACAACAGGCACAATCATATACCTAAAATATTTTAAAGTTTTTAAATGGTTTAGTTGTATGTGCATATATGCACATATATGCATATATAGACAGATGCAACTGAAAAGCAACAACTGTCATCCAGGACCCAGGTCTTCTGATAAAAATTATGATAATATATCAATTTAAAGGGTCATACTTTAAACTATAATGACATAAGCTGGATATATACTTTATGTCCCATGAAATACAAGTAATGATTTTATATTCATGCTTCAGATATATTTAAGCCCACATACCAATTATTTATCCTAAATGACTTTTAAGCAGTATATCAGTAGTTTACTTAAATCAACCCATAATCCTTAAAACTTATATGCAGAATCGAAAGTACCTTTCCTGATGACCCAAATCAGACAGAAATTCATCAATGCGTCCTTGCAGTTCATTTCCTTCTAGATTTTTCAGCTTCTTCAATTCACTCTGGAGGAAAAACCAAAGTTCCTTAGCCCCATTTTCAATCCTCCTCCTCAGTATTTCATGGTCTTTTCCAAGGCCTCCTACTTTAATAAAAAAAGGCATAAAAACATCAGCCCTTGTAGCTGAATTATTTGTTAAGAAACCAATACATTTCTGATACGGAATACCAAAACTCGGTTTAGAAGTAAAATAAAACTTATCTACCAACCATCTCCTGTCCGCTTCTTATAGTTTTCTATCTGTTCTTTGGCCTTTAAAAGTTGCTCCTCTAAAGCATGTACCTTTCCTGCAGCTGGTCCCTGATCAATAGGGCCATCTGGTATCCTAGGATATAGAAAATAAAGAAATTATATGATTTATATGTATAATTGTTATTTGACAAATTATTTGCACTAACAGTTCATCTCTCTCTTTTTGTTCCATACTCTTTTGCTGATAGGCCTTCTTGGCATTTTCTTAAAACCAGAAGAAATTAAACATACTAAAATAAATATTTTTAAACCTCAATCCTATAAGAGGAAAACAGTGCCTATCAGAGCTGCAGCACACAGATCTAACGTGGTGTTAAACTGTGGTGTTTACAACACTTCAACTCACTGACAAGAACAATCCTAGGCTCTACTTGTGAAAACAGTATTCGCAGCAGCTTAACTCAGACCATTTGTTGGACTGACTGGCACACAAGCAAAGCCTAATTGAGGTATGTGCCTTCACAAGATTCAAGTTTTGGCTGCTTTCTATATTCACACATGAAATACATTCTGGTCTTGAATGCTGGCCAAATATTCTTAGAGGACCAGAGCTGCAGCACTGTGACTCTGCTTTTAAGTTAAGTTTTCCTACATACAGGCACAAGATGATTTCAACATATTTTCTGGATTCAGAACAAATGGACCCTCTTGGTAATTTTTTATGACAACTCTGGTATTCTAAACCGCTGGTCACCTAAAACAACAACAGCAACTGTATTACCCATTTGTGAAACCTCTGGTATGTGAGCACAGGAGAAGTACGGAAATAAGCATCCTGAAATCTATAAGCCCTATGTCCACCCTAAGGGTATTACTGAGGCTTCTTCATCATCTCAACTTGAATCCACATATAAATAAACTGAAACTGTAAAAGTATAAAAATTAGATGCTAACTTCTATTTGTCCCACAAATTAAAAATTAATGGAGGGAAAATAAAAACTCCTTTTATCTCTAGAGAATAACACTTCTGCTGGATTCAAGGGTTAAAAATTATTCCACCTTTTATGAGACTTTTGTAAAAGACAACCCTGAAAAGGAAAAGAGGAAACAGATGTCTAAAAGTCTTGAGAACTGTAAAGAATATAGAACATAAAGATGATTCTTCATTCATAATGGAATATGAGCATAAAAAGAAAGGGATATTCTCTCCACACACACATACACAGTTTCAAAGCACCATATGGAAAGACCCCATGCCAGATGAAAAATGCCTCTAGCATAGAGAAAATAGCAGTTAGAGGGAGTATCTTCACCCTAAACCAGAAATGACAGCAGTCTAAAGATCCTACTGGGATGTCATTAAATTTAATGTCTCCCAGATCTGGAGATTTAAACATCAACAAAAAATTAGGAACTGATGAAAAGTCCATTTTCACTGGAGTATTTGAAGGGAATAAAAACCTAATACGAGCATCAGAAAAGTGTATCACGCTAAGATAACAGTTAAACCCCTTTTTTCCAGCAGGGGTAGGAGAGGTAAAAGAAGCAGCTATGTAGCCTGACAAGTTGAGTGAAAAGTTTTTCTCTCTTAAAGCTCCCCATGGAAAGCAAATTAGTGATAACTATTGCAAAATATGTATTTGTGGTTTAAAGTTACTATGGCAAATAAAAAGGAATTATCAATAACTGCTCGTATACCTGCTTTTTTATGTACTGAGGGAGCAACCATGACAAAACTGAGAAAATAGTCCAACCTTAAGCATATGCACTCCCTAAATACACTCCCTCTGTATGAACAATCCATTTGTGAATTTGGTCCTGCAACAGATGTACAGTATTATATCATACTGACATACGGTATTGTATAGCCATGCACAAGACAACACTAACCTTTAAAAAGCATACTGAAACACATTTAAGCTCTTGCACTAGTTTAAAACCACAACGTTCAAATATATCTGTGGTTTGCCAACGTGGCATTACAATTGTGACAGGACAACTAACCACAGAATTACCAGGAAAAACAAAATGGCTTCTCCTGCAAAAATCACATTCCCTAAAGGTAGAATTTGTGAAGAACAATAGGGTAAAAGTATACAAAGTCATTACCACAAGAAATTTTCAGGCAACACATGGATCCTCTGAACATAAGGAAAGTCTGTTAAAAGTACCAAGTGCAGAATCCTGCAGAAGGATGGGTGTGGATGATACAAAAGAACCTCAATTCACCCTGACCAATTGATATAACTAAGATTTTCAAAAACAAATGTACATCCCATTTAATATTCAGTTTGCTTTGGCTTACTGCAATAAAGACATTTACTATACTTCAGTTGTTAGATAACAAGAGCTGGGAGGGGAGTGGGGGGGCATTCTCCTAACCTAGTTCTATGGATTTGCAAAAATGACATCATTTAAGGATAGAACTAAAATAATTTATTCTTTCTGCAGTTTTGTCTCTGCATCTGTTACCTCATCAGACTTGGAACTGCTGTCTTCCTCACTTTCATCCAGTCTCAAAATTAAGGAAAAGGTTCTTCTCTGCACCCAGCACAGCTTGCTTGTTACTGCCCTCTACAAGTACATCAACTGAGCTGGAGATAAGGCAACATTTGAGGGAAAAGCGTTTGAATCAAAATCCTCACCTATACTCATTGCACCATCTATGTAGGTAGCTTCTAGTGCAGAATATCCTAGTAATAATGTATACTTATGAAAAAGAATTCCTATTGAAAAACACACAGAAGTTTTCCTAACAAGTCCTGACAACACACCTTCTTCTTAAAATTTGAGGAGTTTAAACTAAGTTTAGAAAAACTATGATGATTCTGATCAACAATAAAAGAACACGTCAGTAAGCATCTAGCACAGAATATCCTTCACTTATTGCTATGACAACATTGTAAATTGAGTTATAAACAGTATTCATGCACATAATTTCTAAAACTCGGGCAATACAAAACACCTTTACTTCCATTTATCTCCTGCATCACTAACATATATCTGTGCCTCTTTATAGCCCATAGGAAGGTTTTTACAAAGCATCACAGTTGCACAAGAAAAACTACAGTGACTTCTCACTGCAGGCATTTCAAATGCACAGTAAAAACTAAGTGGTGCCTGAAGTCAAGTCATCGGAACTGCACCACAAAGTGTACTTACTTCCTAAGGGAATATTCTTCTTTCAGGCGATTTTCAAAAACAAGTGACTGTTCCGTCTTGCACTATTGCAGAAGTGCATATTAAGAAAAAATAACCCCACCAAAAATCCTTATAAAAACATAAACTAGTCTTAAGCAATATGGGAGAAAAATACATCAGAACAATGTGCTGCGCTTTGTGACATCAAACATACAAACCTTGCAGGGGAAAAGGAAAACACCCCTCCAAAAACCCCAAACATCTTACTGCCCTAAAACCTTAATTCTACTCCTCATGCATCCTTTGTTAAAAAGAAGCAACTGGGGGGAAACTGCAAGATCAAATATGATCTAAGTATCATACAGCAAAAAAAGGGCTAAGCGACATTTTATAAAGCTTTGTCTCAGATATGACATTTCCCAGCTTTTGCATGGTTGACGCTGCATGCACATAAGGTGTGTTTCATAAGACGTATTTTTGGTTTGCTGTTTTGCTGTTGTTGCTGTCTTTGGGGATGAGGAGCTGCTACTTAAATTGGCAGCAAAAGAGCATTGAAATCTCAGGGTGGAAAGGTCACTTCTTGTTGTGTGCTGGCATTCATGGGTGGCTGGATGAAACTAAGCATAGCACAGCTCCTGTTTTCAACCATCCCAGAGGACTGGCACTTTTGTCAGGTGAGAAGGAAGTCAGAGAAGTCCCAAGAACCCATTAGAATGGGAAATACTAGGCAACGGAAATGTATTGAAACATATTTTAGCATATAACTCAGGTCCCAACGTAATTCAAGATGAAAAGCAATTTTCTTTAACTTCAAAATGGAAATTGTTACAACTTACACTTTTTACTAAACTACTGAATTCTTGTAACTATACCTGCTTTCTATCTCTTCCTCTCTGCCATAACTAGCTATTATTAATGGCACAACGATGTATTATAGTAACTTCCTACCATTCACAAAGCCTCTCTTCCCACTGAGATAATTTTTGTTAACTTGGAGGTTTTTACCATCCAGAAGTTTTATCTAATTGTCAAAATACTTCAGTCTAGTTAATCAGATGCCTGTTTATTGCTACAATTATCCAGGCAGGCACTCTGGACTCAATTAAACTCCTCCCAAAGTAACCTCAAGAGTTATCATTTAAATAACAACTCCACCTAAAGCCAGATTGGATGGGCTTTTGAGCAACCTGGTCTAGCAGAAGGTGTCCATGCCCATGGCAGGGGCATTGGAACTAGATGATTTTAAGGTCCTTTTCAACCCTAACTATTCTATGATTCTATAATTAAGGTCCCTTCCATATCTTCACTTATTACAAAAAGTGTGCTTCTTTTCTGTTGTAATAAAAAAAAATCAAACCAAACTCTCTAATTCTCTAGATATAAAATCTCAGTGGAGAAGGGCAGCAAAACCAAGTTTTTACCTCAGTGTAATAAAATCCAATTTCACAATAGGATTTACCTTCACAAGCTCAATGATTTAAAGACCATCATGTTAACCACTCAGATTTCACAGCCATTATCAGTAATTATAGTTTTCGGTACAAACCCAAAAATTCTAACAAATAAATCAAATTCAAGTGATAGTTCCAGACTTCCTGCCTTTGATCAGACCAGCCTAAAACAAATTATGTTTTCACTTTAAGATGTTAACTGGAGCAAAAGTAATCTTTTCTGTCTAATGTTAATTCCATTTCTGAAGTTAAGAGGTGTTTTGTTTCTTTAATGGATGCTCATAGCAGCAGAGAGCTCTTCCAGGACATAGATACTGAATCCATGGACTGTTGGCTAATATCTCATTTTAAATAGCCATATTGCTATAACACTCTAATGGGACCATTTTAAAGCTAACAGTTATTTTTAACATCACTTGTTCTACCTGGCAAACAAAGAAATGAGAAACTGAAATTCTATAATATATTCTATATTATATCCTGCAGGTTGACCAGGATATTTCTTTATAGAAACAACCTTCACAAATACATTTTAAACAGTATCATGGATTTTGCTCAATAAAAATAATGAAAAGGCTCTACATTGGGATATATCACTTCCCTCAAAGTCTAGTACTGCAACATCTCAGATGAGTTCCAGCAAAAAGCTAAAAATATAGCTTAGCCTGTGTATCAGGGACAAGATATGCATTCATATGCCTCCTTCTTGAGAAGAAAAAAGTACCTTTTCATCAGTAAAATCAAGAACATTTACTCTCTCCTGGTGACTGTAATTTGAACTGGTTGTATTTCAATGACTGTGCAAAACACTACATTATCATTTATTCAAGTCAGCTAAATATGGGTGGCTGAAAGCATGGAGGGTGTTAATCTTTACAGTCAATGCCAACTGTTTCCCCCTCAGAGGCAAGAAACCCTAAGGTTGACTATTCTTGTCTAATAGTAAAGTATATTAAAGGTATTGTATATATTCAAATACACAATCTTACTTAAGTTTCTTCATAGCAGCAAACTCTACATTACACTACTTTTTGTCAACAAAAATATATTAAACTTTTTGCCAATGCAGTTGTTACCATAATTTAATAAACAACTGAGTATAGAAAACTACAGCCCACTCAAGGCCATACTACTTAAGGTGAAGACTGTCTGCGCTTAATGCGGAGGGTACCTAGTCAGTGGCATTTCTCTGCCTCTGTGCAGCACCACATGAATGCCAAGGTACTTCTTCAGAGTTGAGATGTGCAAAACTAAGATATTTGTTTTTCTAGGCTAAAAAGCCTCATCAGCATGCGGCCGTATCTATAGAAACCAGGAAGAGTGCAGTGAAAAGAAACTTCAGTAAGTCTACCCAGCCTACCAGATCAAAGAGCCCTGGCTACGTGTGAAAAGGAGAGAATGCACGAGAAGAAACATCAGAACAGGGTTCAGGGGAAAGGTATTAATTTCACTGCTACAGAATCCATATGTGTGATTTAATTCAAATGAAGGGGAGAAACAAACTGACTTCAAGGTAAGGTAACAAGAACAGGACTAGAACCACAAAACATGCTAGAAAGGAAAACAAAGAGATTTGTGCAACTTGCTATTTTTTCCTATGATTTAAGAGGCAAAACAGAAAGGTATAAAATCCAAAATGGCATCTGCTCCTAAAGGGTATTAAAAAGCAAGGTCAAAATCAGTTTCTCCTTGCCAAGCAAGAACAACCCAAGAGACATTATGAACACTCAGCTCACAGTGCCTCTTTCTCTCCATATTCTACATAGGAGTTCCCAGCCAGACCACTGCTACAGATTTGTCTTGGTGCTTGTGAGTATACAGTTAGGAAAGAGAGAGTAAGTAAAAACAAACATCACCCTCCCACTCTGTAAAATCCTGTATTGAGCTTTGCTCTTTTACAGCTTGAATAACACACGAAGCCTCTGCACTTGTTCACATCATCCATCAGGACTTTTACGTTGCATGTGGTGATGTCCACATACTTCGGGGTCCAACCTGACTCTGGCACACATCCTGCCTAAGAAGCTTTCCCCTACAATTTCTTAAGAAAGGAGATATCATAAGTCTATGTTAAAACCTGTCTGTCTGAAAAGGTGAAAGAAAACACTTTAGGTTGTAATTGTACCCACCTATAATGTAACAAATAATCGTAACAAGGGAGATGATCCTATCATTTTACAATTATTCTACAAGCTTAGCAGTAAAGCAAGGAAAAAAACTCAGTTAAAAGAATTCATATAGTGCCGCAGTCTGCTGCAGCTCATCTTCAGCAAGCTGTATGAATGTTTTCAACACTTCTAAAATGAGCTCTATCAGACACTGCACGCAGAAGTGTTGAAAAGTCATGAGCTGTTCTATCTGGCTTGAGCATCATAATTATTGCACTCGAAGTTGCCATTGAGGAGTTAATCACCAAAGAACTCTGCTATTGTGGCAGTGACATTTGGACACCATTAAATAATGACTCTTAATTAATGACTAGATTAGACCAAAAGTATCTGCTTAAAGGTTTTGCAATATATTTTCAGTCAGTTGCAAAATTGATTAAAACACTTTTGAGTATTTTTAAATGTTAAGCATGATTTTACAACAACAAAAAAAAAAATCACAAGCGTGTTACATACAGTAATCCTTTTCTGAAAAGTTTTAATTACTTTTGGATCCTACCTGAGAGATTCTGCCATCCGCCTTAAGTCTTCATTTTGCTGCTTTAACCGTTCAAGTTTAGCAAGTATCTTGGATAATTCACGACTAGAGTGATCTGGGTGTTCACTGTCTCGTACCAGGTGTCCACCGATATAAAAGAGTAAAGTTCCCCAAGCAAAGAGGATGAGCATGATCCAACGCCAGGAACCAGTCCATGGCCGCATTTTCAGAAGTTCAATTCACTCCAGAACTGCTTCTGCTCACAAAATAATGAACATTTTAAGTCCTTATACTGTACAAAAGTGGACAATTCCAGTTCCTTTGCTTCACCACATTGTACCAGAGAAAAATTACTCTCAGTGCTTGCCTTACTGCAACTCCTTAGAGATGATCTTTATGGGTCTGCACATAGAAAGCATTAATATCACATCATTCTTCATTTATATTCTGTGAAAAGAATGAAAAAAAAAAATTACAATTCTGATATATAAAAATATATTGAACTGCAACTAAGACAAATGTATTGTCATTAACATTCAGGAATAATGATAAACGGTGCTACTACTTTCTGTCAAGTAGAAAAAGAATAAATCTTTTAGCTTTCCACAAAAAATATGCAGAGTTCATGAATGAACCATACAAAAAACATGCAATTAATTCTATGTTTGAAATGGCCAGAAGAAATGTTACATTTTATAAGACAAATATTGACCAATTTGTGTTTCATTTCACACAATAGAACAATTTAAAAAACATTCTGTGGTAAACTTAATAGTCTAGTTTAGAATCATCAAAGAGCTTTTATTCAATTACAAATACATCTTCATTTTTTTCCACTTTTATGAACTCTCTTCTCCATTTTTATCATGGCTCCCACCCTGTAACAGAAGAGTTATGGCCATTCTAACAATATATTCTACTGTTTGCAAGTAGATTGGCCTAACAGCAGCTGTAATATCAATTAAGCAAAGTGCAAGCACTGCAAGAGTGCAAGCAGTAATTCCTAAACAAATCCATTTATAGCCTACCCTTAAATTTACAGTCACCTCCGAAATTCCCATTTAAAATAAAACCCAAAATTGTATTTCTTGCTTAAAATTGCAAGACAACACTTCTCTCTTTACCCTTCCATTGCATTTGCTAAAACAGATTAGAACACTAAAAACTGAAGAGGTAGAAAAGAGGGAGATTTCAAATAGAACGTACATAGCACTGCTATACATTTGAAAGTCAGGAATGACTTTAGAAACCTGATTTTTAGGAACATTTTTCTTCCCCTTTAAAACTATCAATCCCATCTTGACAAGTGTGATTACTAAAACTATATAAATGCAAAAAAAATACTCAAAAGTCAAAATCTTCTATCATCTAAAGATACTGCACCATTTAAAAAATTACAAAATCACCTCCCCTCATTTTGTACCTGGCAAAACATCATTTAATGAGTATAAGAACCTCCTCATTTAGAACTGATCTGAAGATTTAACTGATCAGCATATCCAAAATCTTAAGTACTTCTCACCTCTTTTCCTCCTTCTCTGCAATGTAACTTTTCTGCCTTTTGTAAAAGGCACATATGTGCTCTTTACACTCCGTTTCCAAAATAACCTATATTTTCAATTCTCAAATCTGTAAATCCACCATATTTTTTCTCTGAGATTCTGTCCACATCCACCTTCTCCCAAATTATTATTCCCTGTTTAATCCTTTTTTCATCTTCTTTTTCATTTCAGTTAGGCTTTTTATTCTGTTCCAACTCATTTCAAGTTTAGAGAATAGACTTTCCAACTTGCAATAACTTCCAAATTCACCCAGTCATGGACATATGCCTGGAGCATGCACTTCCAGATAGAAAAATTCTAACACAGTATTAAAATACTGAAAAAAATCTCGTTATCTTCCAGAAGGGCTTTTTTGTATGTTTGAAAGAGGCAGAAAAATTCCACTTAGGATTAGCGACATGGTACACAAGATAAACTATTTGAAATTGAATATTACTAATTAAATGGAAAACATTTGTAGTAACTCTCTCAGGCTTTTCCATCTAATGTATCTGTGACAAGGCGAGCACAAGCAGATCAATTTTCTTTGAAAGTAATGTCGGAATCCCACACGAGGAGTATGCCATTTTCTACAGATCTCTAGGAAAGCTATACACAGCTTTTGCTTTAGCTTGGCAAAAGTGTGGGATTGCCTTCAGGAAGACAGTGGTTACTTCATCAACCTTTGCAGATCTCAGTACAAGTTAAAAGAATCCATATTATATGAGACAGAGTAAGCCATTGCCAACCCCCCCAGAGAACTGCTGCTCTAAGAGAAGCAAGCCTAGTTACCTGAAGAAATGATTAACATAAAAAACCCCCATGGACTGACATTTAAGGTTTAAGTGTGAAAGTATTCTTAACATCTCTACTACCATCACCCAGAAAACGGCTGATGTGGCTGCAACATGCCAAGTGAAATCACAAAGTCTGAGGCAGAGGAAATAAAATATAGAAGGTGTCTTCAAATATTCCTCTACTGATGAGCTAAATATTATACCGGGAAATGTAATGAGAATAAACAGATGCTACAGACATCATGAAATTACTGCTTAAGAGAAAAGCTACTAGGAAAAACTTTTGAGTTAATCATAAGCAGTTTGCAGAACTTAGATCAGAAAGTATCTGCCACAGGACCACTTTATAGCAGTCTGCATAATATATCAGACATGATTTCCTTCGAGGAGCAACAAAGTAAAAAAGCTCTCTATGACTGTGATTAATTTCAAGAAGAGGAACTGTTTTAAAAGAGAAGTGGACTTCATGCTACCTGGAAAGATAATGGTCTTAATTCAAACAACTATTATAATTAGCAAAGAAAGTATTCCTTCAAAAAGTTACAAGCATGCTCAAACGATTAGAAAAATTCTGGTACATTAAAGAGAAAAATTCCTGGAGACTCCAAGGTCAACAAACGGTAAGAGTAAGTAAGAACTGTTTAGAATACTCTGCAAGGGAAATACTGACTTCCATTTTTTCAATCTGTTTTTCATAGCACAGGAACTTAGGTAGACTCACAAATCAGTTACCATGTTTATAAGCGGAAGCATCAGTGTGTCTCAAACAGCGTTAGTAGAACAGGCTATCAAACAAATCCACAAAATTAATATAACAAATTGTCAGGAACAGATGGTATTCTTCCAACAGTTCTAAAGAAGATAATGCAGTAGTTTAATTATTAACAGTAGTGTGTAATCTTTCACTTACAATCACCTTGTAGCAAAGGAACAGAAAATGAAAACTGCAAACCGAACTCTCCGCAAGGGCTACAAAAGGGATCCCTGCAACTACAGGCCAGACAAAATTGATATTCCTGTCAAGCACACTGTCAGAAATAATCAGATGAAATAAAACTGCAAACATAAGGATGAACGTAATCAAAGTCAAAAAAAGTACTCGCACGGCTCTTGCAAAGAGAAATTGTGCCTCATAAACTTATTAAAGTTCTTCTGAAGATGTGAACAAACACACAGGCAAGACAGAACCAGTTCCAATGCTACGCAGTTGACCTGGTGAGTGTGGATTTCCAAATTTCAACAAGGTCCTCAGAATATTTCAAAGAAACTAAGGTGCATGGAAGAAGAAAGTTCGTCATGTGAGTCACCACTCCATCAGAAGAAGCTTACAATAAGACTAAGCAATCAGTTTAAGTGGAAAGAATGATCATGGACTTCACTGGGACTTATCACAGAGCTCATACAGTTTAATATATTCATAACTGATTTGGAAAACAAGGTGAAAAGTAAGGTAATAAGCTTTGCATACAGAGAATAAAAGATGATAGCAATGAACTGAAGGACATCAAGACACTGTCTAATGAAGAGATAAAATGAAAGATGAAAATTCACTTTATATCAGGGTGTGGAGTTGTGTATAGATGACTTTTGAACCTTTACCCATCAGGAATGGACTTTAGCTGTCAGAGGTAATTCTATAAAATGGCAGCTCAGCATTGGGCAAAAAGCAACCAGGTCCTCTCAGGTTTAAACAACAACAAAAAAAATTGCAAAAATCATTAATGGTATAAGACAGCAAATGGCACAATCAGTCATTTGTTATTACTTCTAGTACACGGGAATAACAAGTAAAACTTCCTGGTTTGAACAGGTTCAAAACAAAATCAGGTACCTCTCAAAGCAGGCAATTCCAGCATGAAACTCATTCTGATCAAACACCGTAGGTGTTAGAAGTTTACATTTCAAAGGCCATTAGACCATTTCAAGGAAGATTAAAATTTTCATCAAAGGCTACCCACAAAGATAGCACTCAACATTCTCAGAATCCCAAGTCACATATTGTTAGAAACTGGAGGATGTACCAGCTTAGTATCACCATAGTTTCCTGGTTCTTGCAGTTTTCCCTAGACATCTACTACAAGCGAGTCTTGGATATACATTAGGCTAGATAAGCCTTTGATCTGATACGGTGCAAATATTTCTACGAATTTAAAATGTTAAACAAACACTATTTTTAAGAGTTATTAAAGGTTTTATGCTATCAAACACAAAGAGACCACATTTTAAGAGGGCTAACAATCCTACATTTACTTTATAAAAAGACATTTTAGAACTCATTATTAATAAAAAAGTAACTTTTTGAGTGTTTGGTTTAAAAGGATACACAGAAACTCAGACAGAAGAAATACCAGACAGTCTTTCAAAGGAAGAAAATGGAACGATAACTTCATCAAGTACTTGACTGTGTTTGAGGATAAGATTGGTTAAGTACTTCTGGCTCTCAAGAGCTTATAAAATTTGCAAGTGCATATAGGGAGGAAAAACCCTTGTTATTTATGTCCCTGTACATCCTGAACAATTAATGGTGTGATTATTTTCAAGTACATTGTTCTTGTAGCACCTTCACTTTGCTTTTATATAAATGATTGCAAAGTACTGACAGTTTGAATTTAACATTCTTTAAGAGCGAACCTGTTCATACTTCCTGATAATAAATAACATTATTTCTAAATCAATTAATGATCTTACTATTTTAAAGAACAGAAAGTTCTTCAACTACTCTGAAGAATATTTTATAGTATGCAAAAGATCTGATTCCTGTGAATCTCTGATGATATCACTGTTCTTTTTATATGTTAGGTCACAGTACAGCTGAAGTTAAAATAAAAATGCCAAACTATCAGAATAAATAGGAAGAACATTCTGAACTAGCATTAAACAGTCAGCCTGTATGTCAAACGTGGTGTATCTAATTATACATGAGCTCTAGCTACTCTTAACTACTGGCTTTGTACTGTAATGTGCCTTTTGTATTTTTTCTTCCATTTCATACTGTTCAGGGAATGTAAAATGTCAAAGTACTCCAGTATTTCAAGGTCCTTACAAGACATTTAAATAAATTAAACTCTAATAAATAAAACAGTAGCAAAAATCAAAGAACAAATAGGGA